ACCAAAATAATTTTACTTCCCAGTAAAACTGGCATCACAGATTCTTAATAATTATGTGTGTCAATGTATAATAATGATTTTCACATTGAAAATTTTTGTGGTTTGCACATTAAAAATTTTTTGCACATAAAATTTCTAATTAAAAAAATATATTATCTACAATTACAGCAGGCAAGGAAATTAACTCAACCTGAGATAACACTAGCAACATCAATTCATCATCTGTAACTAGGATTGCTTAAGTTTTTTGTGGTCAAAAAATACCAATGTTTGTGGTTCCAGACCAGATCAAATGGAAGTAAGTCTTAAAATGAGCTTAAAATGTGAATTAAAAGATGTATGATTAATAGATAAAATATATTTTATTTTATTCCTAGTAATCAACAATTCCAAGCTTCTAGAATGTGCAGAAACTGCTGGGTAGTATATTTCTACCTTTTATATTCAGATACTTTAAAATTCTTTAAAAATTCAAAAATAAATTAAAATTCTTAAAAAACACCAAAGTAAAGTATATGCCATCCCCTTGGAATAATCTGTGATAACCCAGGGTATCATAAAACTAAAATTATGAATCATTGATATACATAATTCTTTTTTTAAAAGATTTATTTATTTATTTATGATAGACATAGAGAGAGAAGCAGAGACACAGGCAGAGGGAGAAGCAGGCTCCATGCCGGGAGCCGATGCAGGACTTGATCTCGTGACTCTAGGATCGTGCTCTGGGCCAAAGGCAGGTGCTAAACCGCTGAGCCACCCAGGGATCCCCGATACACATAATTCTTAATGTGAAAATAATTTAAGCTAGCACTATGTTCATCTTCCAATTTTATATCCGTCTTACAAATAAATTACATATATAAATTGCTTGCTCTCCCTTCTAGGGGTAAAGGAATTAAAAGATTTATAAGAATTTAAGGGTTATAAGAGTTAAGATCAGCATTTTTTAAAAAATTTATTTATTTATTTTAAATGGAGGTGCAGAGAGGGAGACAGAGAGAGAATCCCTAAGCAGACTCCCCACTGAGTGGGGAGCCTGATGCAGGACCCTGAGATCATGACTGGAGCCAAAATCAAGAGCTGGACATTCAACTGACTGAGCCACCCAGAAACCCCTAAAATCAACACTCTTAATTATTCAACCCAGGGGTAAATTATTAGCTGCTCCTAAGTAGGTCGGCCTATAACTACTATATGTGCAAATACATGAATTTATCCTACACTATGATCTTTCCTTTGATTAGTGTGCATAGTGGAATAATAACCATGTGCATTCTGAACAAAAAAATATATACCTATCAATTATCAGAAGCACACTGTTAAAGAGAGTAGTTCCATAGCAATTCCAAGTTTGTATGAATTCTTATTAGCAGCAACTTATTCTAAATGTTAGTAATTTGGTGGCAAAGTAACAATGGAGTCTCTCTATTGATATTAACAAAGGTGGTTGACACTTTTACAGCCTATGAGTCTTACTGAATCCACACAGGATAAAATTACAGAAAGAAAGAAGGCTAAGTGCATTTTTAGCATCTCTTCACATGAAATGGCCCAGTTACTACCTGATGAACTATAAGAAAACTAAAAGAAAGCTCCCAAGACCCCTCTTCTCTGCTGATCTGGTTGGTCTTTTTGCCCTTTTCCCAATTCCTATCTATGGACTTTCTGCAATATCCAGATACCAACAATGGACAGAAAACAATTAAGATGAATCTACAGTACACATGTCCCATTACTCAATTTGCAGAATGAAGCCCCCAAACCGAACTGCTCCATTTCTTGGTGATCACAGAGAATAATTCTGGTCTACATTGACTGATGTCAGTCTAAACCCTGTTTGATAACAATTATAGGGCTGTGGACCCAAAAAAACTGCACTAGTCTATCAATTCTGTGAAAATTGTTGACTGGGTAGTACATTACACATCTAGCACTACCATCCTGAAATTCAGAAGACAGAATATACACATAATGCTTATCTGATGTTTCACATTAATGTGCAAAAATCCAGAAGCTTGTTCTTAGTTCATGTGTGTGCAAGTTTCCCCTGGCAGTTTAATACAAGCAGCATAGGTTGTATCAGGCAGATCTGGGGGCCAATTTCACCTGTGATGTCAGGCAAGTCACTTCACCATCTGTGCTTCCAAGGTCATGCTAGTGTTTACCTACCTCATAGCAAACCTATTTTGTAACTCTGGGACGTTTACACTGGATAATATCTGCAAAATACTTACTTCAATGCCTAAGACATAGTAAATACTAAATAAATACCTACTATTGTTACTACTAACTTAAAAATGGAGAGGTTAAGGGATCCCTGGGTGGCGCAGGGGTTTGGCGCCTGCCTTTGGCCCAGGGCACGATTCTGGAGACCCCGGATCGAATCCCACGTCGGGCTCCCGGTGCATGGAGCCTGCTTCTCCCTCTGCCTGTGTCTCTGCCTCTCTCTCTCTGTGACTATTATAAAATAAAAATTAAAAAAAATGGAGAGGTTAAGAGCAGACTCGGGCCAGATAACTTAGATTCAAATCCCAGCATTGCTGGGTGATCTTGGGTAAGTTACTTACTCTCTCTGAGCCACATAAATTTCTTTTTAAATTTAAAAATATCAAACCATGGGGTGCCTGCTCGGTTGGTTAAGCATCTGCCTTCAGCTGAAGCTCCCTGAGCAGGTTGCCTGCTTCTTCCTCTCCCTCTACCTGCTGCTTCCCCTTCTTGTGCTCTCTCATTCTCTGTCAAATAAATAAAATATTAAAAAATAATAAAAATAAAAATATCAAACCAGGGCACCTAAGTGGCTCAGTCAGTTAAGCATTTGCCTTTGCCTCAGGTCATGATCCCAGGGTCTGGGGATAGAGCCCCATGTCGGGCTCCCTGCTCAGCAGGGAGCCTGCTCCTGCTTCTCCCTCTCCCTGCCACTCCCCCTGCTTGTGCTAGCTTGTTCTCGGTCAAATAAATGAAATCTTTTTTTAAAAACATTATTTAAAAATTATTTAAAAATCAAAAATAAATTAAAAATATCAAACCAGTTAATTATACGTAAAGGACTTAGAAAAGAAACCAATACATAGTAAACACTATATGAGTGTTTGTTATTACTAACATGCAGACAATTTCTGGGAAGGAAATAAAAAAAGGAACAGGAATTTGCAAACCAAAAACACAATGAAGATCTTAATGTTGAAACAAAACTACTAGTTCTAACAAAAATAATTCACTGTGTGCTGGGGCAGGCATCATACCCCAAAGTTAAAAATATCTAACTTCCTCAGCAACTGAATAAAAACAACAGCGCCCACCATTTTTTAAGTACCCACTATTAGTGTACCATTTTAAGCATGGGCTCTTGAGAGAGACCTAGGTTTGAATCTGAGTTCCTCTTTATAAATGTGCCATGTGGGTATAGTGAGAGGTTAAATTACCCTCTCCGAGGCTTCAAAGATTCCTCCTCTGTAAAATGGTCATAATCATGCTAATTCATCTCAAGAGTCCTGGGATCCGGTGGCATTAGGCTCCCTGCTTATCAGGGAATCTGCTTGAGGCTCTCTCCCCCCATCTCCCCTCTCTAATAAATAAATAAAACTGGAAAAAATAATCATGCTATTGTTACAGGGTTGTTTTGAGGACTAAATAGGACTATACCGGTAAAAACAATGATAGCTACTATTACTATTCCCAGTCAAGGACCATGGAAAGGTTGTTCAGACTGCAGACAGTCTTACAATCTTTTCAGTAACACAAAGTGGCAGCTAGCACCTCAGTAATACATTAAAGACACTTTAGCTCAGAAAGGTGATATAAGTTACCCAAGGCCACACAGCTAGTAAATAGCCCAAACAAGCAGGATTCCAGGCCTAACTCCATTAAGAACATTGGTCTTTACCTTAAGCCACATTGCCTAATATCAACAGACTCCTTCCTTTTTAAGGGCTTAAAGGATTAATTATTTAATTTAATCATTTAACAAACCATTATTGAGAATTTCTTACATGCAAGGCACCATCCTATGTGCTGGGAATACAGTGGTGGTCCCTAACCTTATAAAGTTTATGATTAATGAGAGAGACGATCAACAGGTAATTGGGTAACTGTGAAAATAATATGACGATGACGACGATGACGATGCAGACGAAGGCATCTAACTGTTTGGCAGGGGTGTTGGCCATTTTAGCAAGCATGATCGGAAAGGTGGGGGGGTGATGCAGCTTGGTTTGTTCGAGAAACAAAAAGAACCAATGAGGTTGGAGACAAGATACGAGAGGCTGATTGATGATGGTATGAATGTCCTTGAAGGTAAGGACCAGATTCACATTTTTTGTCCCTGTAGGATCAAAGAGCATAGGATCCAGATTGAGGCTTATCTGATTTCGAGGCCTGGATACCTCTGGGCCGTGGGAAAATTACCTAATATCGTCTCAGTATTTTCCTTGTGTGCAAAAAGGTAGGTATAGTTACCGCTACCAAGGTTGCTGTGAGGATTCGACCAGGCAATGCGCATTCGCACAGTCATTATGGTATTTGCGGAACTGGGTGCAAATGCCAGTCCCTGCGTGCCCTATGTGGTCGTTCCATGCCTGGACCCTCTCTCTACACAGGGCCTGGGCAGCATACCCCCAGTTTAGAGAAGGGCCTCTCCGAAAAAACGCATCCGCCCCCCTACCCCGACCCGCGGCGCGCCAGATCATCCCCAAACTGGCCCGCGGGCCCCTCCCCGCAGCACGCTCCCCAGCGGCACAAGTCAACCAAAACGCCATTTCCACCCTCTCCTCCCACACGCAGCCCTCCAGGCCTGGGATGTCCCGGGGCACCCACCCCACACCTCGCCATCCGTCTCCCACGCCGCCCTGCGTGACGTAAAGCCCGAGCCGGGACGCAGCGGCCGCCTCCCGCCCCTCCGGGCTTCCCCGGGCCACCCCGGGCCCCGGCGGCCGCACTGCGGGCCGCGCGCCTCAGGGGCCGCCAGCCGCCGCCACGGCCCGGCGGGCCAAACTGCTCACCACGACGCTGGGGCTGCGGGTCGCCATTACGAAGCCGGCGGGCGCGGGGGCTGACGGCAGCCTGAACAGGAGGAAGCCGGCGTTGCAGCAGAGGAGGCGGAGGTTCTCCTGCAGAAGGCGGCGACCCGCGGGAAAGCGGAGAGGTTTGCTTGCCGTTGCGCTCTAGGCCGCCGCCGCCGCCGCCAAGCCGAGCCTAACAGGCCCCGCCCCGCCCCGCCCCCGGCTCCGCCTCGCCCCCGGCTCCGCCCACAGGCCGCCCGGCTGTCTCCGCGGGCGCCTGCGGGTTTCCAGGCGCACGAGGTGGGAATTTTCCTCCGGAAGAAGCGGCGACTCCTCGCGCGCATCCTGTGTCCCGTTTTCCCAGGGTCTTCCAGCCGGACCTCCGGCTCCAGGATTCCCAGACCTGCCGCCGCCTTCTTCCCAGTGGCGCTAAACTGGGCTCCGGCTCTTCCGCTTGCAGTCACCACGTGCTCCTCTCGCCCGGCGTCTCCTTCCCAAGACCTTGGACCGCATTGCGGATTCCGTTTGCCCGACTGGTGGCCCAGTTCTACCAAAAAACTTTAACAGGGTGTGTGAGTTCAGACCTAGGAGCCCTAGGGTGAGCAGATCAGGGTACACATCCGGCGGGGGACACCCTACTGCTCTGTGACCTTGTGCGAATCAGACCTCCTGAGCCTCTTTTCTTCTCAGTAAAGTGAGGATATTAACGGGATTGTTGTGAGGATTAGACGCGGCATCTGTGCGCATACGCATGTAGACGGCACAGTACCTAGGACATTGCATAATCAGGAAGTGGGAACCGTGGCTATTACTGATCTTTGTTTTTGCCTCCACAAATTCCTGTTTGGAACTGGGGCGGGTTGAGGGGGGATCCTCCCCTAGTCTCACGTAAGTCAGGTAAGCAAATAACAGTTGTTCCATTCCTGCCGTTCCTACAGCTCTGGCACCCATCAGAGTGCCCAGCGCATGCTAGGTGTCCTCTATTAGGGCCACTGAGGATATGTGATGGTAAAGAGATTTGTGAACCTGGGCGTCGTTGAACTCTGAGCCTTCATCAAAAAAAATGAGAATAATTCTTCCTATGAAGGTTTATTGTGAGAATTGTAAAAATCACTTATGTAAAGCACCTAGCATACTACTTGCCTTGTAGTAGGTGCCCAAGAAAGAATAGCAGTTGTGATTCTATTGTGTATGAGTCTGGGAACACCATAGGTCAGAGTTTTTCTGCCTCCCCTATCTATCATGGAGTGATAACGACTATAATGGAAAAGGTACATGTGGGGTTTGGACTGAGACAGATCTGACTTTAAATCCCAAGTTGAGTTCACCACTAGCTAGTGTTATACCTTGAGCAGGATCCCTGGCCTCTGTGTGCCTCAGTTTCCTTATATGTCAAATGAAGATAATTTATATCTCAACCACGGGGCATGGTGAGGATTAAACAAAATTATGCAAGAATGCCTAGCTAGCTCTTGCTTCAAAAAATGTTAATACCAATGCTATGCGTTCCATATTATTACCTTAAACAATTCTTCACTCTATCCTTCTAGCATCTAAGACTTCTTATTTATTATCCTACTGATGGACATTTGGTCAGTTTCCAGGTTTGGTTTATTGCAAATAGTGCTGCTGTGAACATTTCATACCTATTTTGTACATAAACACATGAATGCATTTCTATTGGATATAGACTTTGAGGTTCATATCAGCACATTTTTATTACTTATCCTTTTAACAAACATTGTGTTCCACCAGGAGTTAGAGCACTTCCAGTTATATGTTGGGCCCCTGGCACATGTGGACTCAGCTACATTAGTTTCTCTCTTTTTTATATTTTAAAGATTTAATTTATTTATTCACGAGAGACACAGAGAGAGGCAGAGACATAAGCAGAGAACCAGGCTCCATGCAGGGAGCCCGATAATGGGGCTCAATCCTGGAACTCCAGGATCATGCCCTGAGCCAAAGGCAGATGCCCAACCACCAAGCCACCCAGGTGTCCCTCTCTCTCTCTTTTTTTTTTTTTTTACAGTAAGTTCCATGCCCAGCCTGGAGCTGAAGGTGGGTCTTGAACTCAGGACCCTGAGATCAGGAGTTGGACACTTAAAACAAATGAGCCACTCAGGTACACATCCAGCCCCCACCCCCACCCCCACCCCGCCCCGCCTGCCACATTTGTTTCTAAATTAGGTAATCCAACACTTCAGAGCCCTTCTGGCTTGTTTGTGGCTTGCAGTTTCTTCTTTCTCCAACCCCTGTGGTAGCACATACTCCTGAATTCTCAGGGGTTTGAAATAAACAGAGATAGCCTGCTAACTGTAAAGACAAATAGTACTATTATTTCCATCCTGTTACTCTATGACAGCTTGGAGCTTTTATTTGTGTTTAAGATTTAAAACACCAAATAGTGCAACTTGCAAGATGTAATACTTCTGTTTGGTAAGTGAAAATCCAGTTGACAGATGAAATATATTGCTCAATTTGGACAATATATTTAAAATCAAAATGTTATTTTTTTAATTTAAAAAATTATTTATTCATGAGAGACACATAGAGGCAGGTTCCCTGCATGGAGCCTGATGCAGCACTCGATCCCAGGACCCCGGCATCATGACTTGAGCTGAAGGCAGATGCTCAACTGCTGAGCTGCCCAGGTGTCCCTGAAATGTGTTATTTTAAAATTGTAATAGTTGGGGCACCTGGCTGGCTCAGTCAGTAGAGCATGTGACTCTTGATCTCAGGGTTGAGAGTTAAGCCCCACATTGGGTATGGAGACTACTTCTTAAAAAATTGAAAAATTAAAATTATAATTGTCTTAAGTCCTAAAAAGAAATCAAGAAAATAGCTATTACTATTACAGGAAATAAAATGTTCATATAGACAAAATCATTTTGTATCTTTTTTTTGAGAGAGTGTGCAGGTGCACACCAGGAGAGGTGGGGGAAGAGGGATAGGGAGAGAGAGCATCTCAAGAAGGCTCCACACCCAGCGCAGAGCCCAACTCCAGGCTTGAACTCACAACCCTGAAATCATGACATGAGCTGAAATCGAGATTCAGATGCTTAACTGCTTGAGCCACCCAAGTGCCCCAATTTTGTCATTTTTTTAGTTAAAAATTATTCTGTGTGTCAAATATGCTAAGTATGTCACTGTTTTACTAGAATATTTGCATGCAGGAAGAGATATGGAAAGCATGGGTGTAACCCAGGATTCCCCTTTCTCACTCTTGCCTTTCCAGAAACAATTTTGTAGTCTACTTGTTTAGACTTAATGAGGAATTATTTACATACCACAACCAATTTTGAGTGTATTTCTGCTCCACATGTTTCTTTTCTTTAAAGATTTTATTTATTTATTCATGAGACACACAGAGAGAGAGAGGCAGAGACACAGGCAGAAGGAGGAGAAGCAGGCTCTTTGCAGGGAGCCCAATGCAGGACTCGATCCCAGGAATCCGGGATCATGCCCTGAGCCAAAGGCAGATACTCAACTGCTGAGCTACCCAGGCGTCCCTAAATGTTGAATTTTTTAAAAAGACTTTTCTTTATTCATTTGTCAGAGAGAGGGAGAGAGAGCACAAACAGGGGGAATGGCAAACAGAGGGAGAAGCAGACTCCCCGCTGAGCAGGGAGCCCGATGCGGGACTTGATCTGGGATCATGACCAGAGCGGAAGGCAGATGCTTAACCAACTGAGCTACCCAGGCGTCCCTCTAAGTGTTAAATTTTTAAATTAAACTTAGAGTAGCCTTCCTAGTGATCTTGGATGTTCCACCTTCATCAGAATACATTTCTCTAAGCTTTGCTTTGACTCCATGAACTGGATGAAAACTGAACCAGTATTGGAATCAATGAAAGTGACAGTTAATTTTATGTGTCACCTTGGCTGGGCCACAATACCCAGATATCTGAACAAACATTATTCTGACTGTTTCTGTGAAGGTGTGTTTTTGGGTGAGATTAACATTTAAATCAGTGGACTTTGACTACAGCAGATTACCCTCCACAATGTGGATGGGCCTCCTCCAATCATTTGAAGGCCTGAATAGAGCAAAGGCTGACCTCCGCTAAGCAAGGGGGAATTTTGCCAGCAGACCGCCTTCAGACTGGAACTGCAACTCCTCCGGCAGTGTCCAGCCAGCCGGCCTCCCCCATCAGATTTTGGACTCATCAAGCCTCCACAAACGTGTAAGCCAATTCCTTAAAATAAATGTCTCTCGCTGTCTTTCGTTTTCTCCCCTCCTTCTCTATCTCCTCCCCTCCCCCTCCCCTCTGTCTCTGGCTCATACAGACATGGGGTTCTGTTTCTCCGGAGAGCGCTAATACAACTGATTTTCTGTTTGAAACATCTAATGATATAGATGGCATCATATAACTGACATCATTTAACTGTGAAGCCCTGCAAATAGAGCTACTTATTTAAAGCTCTCACTTCACTTTTTGTCGTGTACAGGACACTTGATCGCTTCTCGGCCTTTTGGCTAAGATCAAGTGTGGTACAGGACACTTGAAATCAAAATGAACGAATGAATGTTGAAGAAAAGTCAGTTGATCTAAACAAGCCATTCACAGAGCAATACGTAAATACCCTCTCTGCAGCTGTACCCCATTAAATCATCATCTTTGGGCACAGCCTCCTTAAAATAACTACAAACCTGTGAGGTTGATGCTGAAACGGTCTCTGCAAATTTATGCCTCTGGTTTTCCTGTGGTCAGTGATAGCCATGTGCTCCATGCGCATGGATGATAAAGCGTTGCCAACTGTTTTGTTCATGTTACACAGTCATGATCAATGTCTTGAGTAACAAATATGGCATTTAATTTTGCATTAATCTTGCACTTTAGTTTTTGAACTCATGTGCCGAAAAGGGTGAATTGCAAATTTGTAGGAAAAAAAGGTATTGTAGATTTGCACCATATAATGAATGACATAACCACGGTACTGAGAGCATTCAGGTGACTTACTCTGTTCTATGGCAGGACACCTCAGTCTCTGTTTCCTTAATATACTTTATGTACATGTAAAGATGTATTTCGCTACGTCCACTGGCCTACCAACTCGTGGCCAGGCAGCTTCCTGTATCTCGTAGGCTTTGGCATGGGCACAAATGGCCGGCATACTCTTCTGGAACCCCCAAGTGTCCAGCAAAGGGGCACACAGTGGTGATTGTTCCCTCTCATCCCTGCCTGG